CAGATCTCCGGCCTCAGGTAACGGATCTTATATACCCTTGGCAGGCTCGTGATTGGTGGGTGGCGTGAGGCGATCGCAGCGCTGATTGGGCAGAGCGGGGCGAGCCTCGCTCCCGCCCCCGCGCGCAGGGGCGCGCGGAGGGCTCGGGGCGGGGCGCGCGAGCCTCTCCCGTTCCCGATCGCCGGGATCGTGTGAGGGGAGCGGGAACTCCGTGCCCCAAATCCCACTAAAACTTCTCTTTTCCCGGCTTTCAGGTCAGAGCCATGCGCTCGTTTGGTGTTTCCCTAACTGGACAGGGAGAAAGACAAAGTGTTTGCCTGTGGGAGAAACGTTCCTCGTGGCCGTAAAATCGGAATTGTTCTCTGCGTCAAATGAACGGTTTGAGGTAAAAATGAGTGAACAAGTAGTGAACAGACAGGGAAAAATTTCGGAGGAAATTTGAGGCAGTCTATAGTGCAGGCAACGAACACTGTGAGGTAAACAGAGGTGATCAATAGTGCACATGTAGGTAAAGCTTTGGGGATAAAATTTAGGTAAGGTGTAGGAAAGAGAATGATCATTTGGAGATAAACTGAGGCAGGCAGTAGGGAACAACAGGCAATGTCATAATGTACTGGATTTGGGAGTTTCCCACTGTTAAAGGCCTGAAGTTACAGGCTGTAGTGTGTGGAGTAAATGGCTTATAGCTACAAAATCCACTTATGACCTTTCAGCAGAGAATTTGGTGTGTCAGCGTTTTCCAGCTCACGGAATTCCGCGTTGAGAATCTTCTAGGAAGCGCCCACAGGGTGCTCCACCACTTGTAGTCCAGTTTCATGGACTGTTTAGTGAAAACATAAAGTCATCAGTGGAAGGAGACAGCGACCACCCTCGGGTGGTTCCTACCGGTAAGGTTGTCAGGGATGGTGGAATTTAATAAACAACTCTCTGCTGCTGCTCACAGAGGCCCACTGGCATCTTCCAGGGTTTGCTGGGAAGGGAGGCAGGACGTAACAAAATGTCAGTAAAACTCATTGTTGAGCTGTGTTGTGTTCGGAGTAGAAAAAAGTTTAGCTGGTTCTGGTTCATATAATTTGGAGACAGAAATAAAAATAAAGCCTTTTGCTTCTCAAGGTGGAAAGCATGACTAACTAAGAATGTGACTCAAGGAAAGGTGTTTGCTTTAGGTATTAATGAGAAATGGCCAGTGTCTTTCAGCAAAATAGCGTTTCTCTTTGGAAGTACTGACATTACTGGGTGAAACTGGTTGGGCTGGGATTTAAAAACATATAAAAGCCAGTGCTAGCCTACCTCTGTTCCCCAACACTGCCATGCTCTCCCGGGCACACTCATCTCTGTAATTCCCCATTAGTTACCCCTGTCTGTTTTTCCCCGCTTGTCCTCAGGCCAGCGGGACAGCTGTGTGCTGGAGGGGCATGGGGGTTTTTTTGGCTTGCTCTGTGTGGGTTTGACTTGGATTTGTTTGATTGTTGGACTTGTTCACACACGGCTGTCTGTCATTGGGAAAGGAGGAGGGAGAGGAGCTGTGACAGTAAAAGCCAGTGAGCCACTGTTGCTACATTTAACACTTGTACATTTTTATTTAGTTAAATCAGCCATTGTACACATTGCAGCTATGTATTGTTAGTGTTGTATGTTTTTAATTTTTAACTAATACATGCCCTCATAGATATATTCAATTAGTGTTATCACCATGGGAACAAGATGCTGATTCGTCAACTTAAAATTCACTTCTTCTCACAGTATTCAAGTTCTCTGATAACACAGCAAAAAATCAAAATAAGAGGTGAATAACCATTATGCTGTTACACAGAACATCATCTGCACCGCAAATAACACAACAGAAATGCATTTCTTGAGAGCCCCATCCTTGAAGACCCTCCTGTGCTGTCTCGGACAGTCAGGAAGCCACGATGCGCTGTGAGATGTTTCGCCACGGGTCTCGTTCGGTTTGGCTGCCAAAACACTTTTTTTTTTTCTCTCAGTTTCCTTTCTTGCCTGCCCAAAAAGTGTCAGCACGGCACCTCGGGTGGTTCTGCCCACAGGAAGCCAGAACTCCAGAGATGTTTCCATGCTTTTGGCATCATTACCTTAATGAGGAAGTGCCCTTGTTCTGAGCACTGAGTGAGTCGTTAAAAAAAGCCCAAAGAACCCTATAATTGTAGAAGGCCAGATAAGCTTGGACAAAGGATTGCTCCTAGAGCAGAGGGTTGGTTTTACTCTGGTGTTGAGCCTACTATTAAAAAAAATGAAAGAGCTGTTTAAAAGCATTAAGTTGGTGTGTTGGTGTGTATGCGTGTTATGCTAAAACCCTACAGAGCTCCCTCCATTAAATATTAAGGTATAGAACACTCAAAACTTCAGATCCCTATGTTCCCCTTTTGGAAAATAAAAGTGCAGACATGCCAATGTGGTTTTCAGAGGGTCGGTTTAGAAATATATATATATAATATATAGTTACATAACAAAATATGAACAGAAACCGGCTGCAAAGGATTGTGAGCACTTGTTCTTTAAAAAACACTTGATCAGAAGATAAAAACTGCTCGCTCAGTGCTAAGAGGGCCAAGAAGCTGACATGGTTCTAGGAGGGTTTGGTTTTGACCTTCGAATGCCGCATGCGTGTATCGGCTAAGAGGCAATCTCGATAAAACACGGTGAATTAATTATTCTCCTTGTATAGTGGGTTAAGTCTTTGTCCCGTAGTTATCTACAGTGCAGTGGCCAGCAGGAAGCACCCCCAGTCGGTCGGTGAGGTCGGCTAAGCGGTGATGGGAAGGGGAAGCTACCGGAGTTGGGATTGTTTAATACGCCCCGCCACAGGTCCGGGTCTATAGGCTCTAATACCACAGGTAGAGCTGCTAGCAACTTGGGTACCTAGTGGGGAAATTTTCCTTTCTTTTTCTTTTGGAAATGTTTCGGTGGCTGTCTGAAGGTGTCTGCACTACTGATGGCCACAGTCAGCTGTGATTCACGTGAACAGCTGCCTTTCGCCTGCCTCTTGCAGCCTGTGCCTAGACCGGATCTCTGAACAGTGAGTCTTGGTACTCGGTAGCTCTGCAGCGCTTCCTCCCAGCTCGGTCAGCGTTTGCGATCCGGGCGGTGCCGTTCCGCGGGGTCGCTGCACCCCGTAAGCCACGACACCGACGGGCAGCGGGTGTTCTGCGGTCTCGTGAGTTCAAATACTCTGCTATTTACAGTTTACACGTCAAGTCCTTCGTACGGTGCATGTACACAGTCAGTGGAAGAGGCCTGTCGATGAAGTCTGCTTGGCAAGGGCCGTGTCAGTAAGCGAGCGCCAGAGCGAAGGGACGGGGACAAGTGGCGACGCCGACAGGGTGCCGGCGTGGCGGATAAACCATCCTGCCTGAAGGATGCTATCTTTGGTCACAAATTAGCTTACAGGGTGAAAAATCAGAACAGCACAAAATGAAACTTGGGATGGGGAGAAATGAATTCACTGCAGCTGCACAGGTAGGAGCGGCAGTGGCGACTCTGCTACCCGGGGACGGTGACGGCTGCGTACGGGAGGGGTCACGTGGCGCTGTGCAGGGGCGGCAGCTTCTCACTTGGCCTCCTGTGTCCAGTCCTCTTGGCAGAAGTGCCTAAGAAGCTGCTGGAGGTCATGCTGGAGGTCATCCCTGGGGAGCGCTTCTGGGGTGTCTTCCAGCTCTTCTATGTGAACGTGTTTTCCATAGCGGTCCTTCATCACGGTCCTCTTCTGTGTGCTGGCTTTACTTAGTATTGTCCTGGAACCGAAAAGAGGAGAGACCTGACTTAGAAAGGCCACACTTCTGGAGGTCTGAGAGGATTTTTAGGCTTTTCCAAGGTAGGGTTACACATGCTGGAGAGAAGGCACTGCACTGTGTAAGTACGTGCAACTCCTACGGATCTCTACCCCTTTTCCTTTATATACTCTCTGCATTCTTTGCACATATATTTGTAGCCTATTATTGTAACTTAGCTTCAGCATTTTCCTAGGCAGAAAGACAAAACAAATTCCAGGACCCCTATGCTATCTTAGTATTCCTTAGAAATCAAGACTGAAATCAGCTCTTTAGGATGTATTTTTAGCAACAGAGCCGAATCCTCATCCAAGGGGGGGATGTGGAAGGTGTTAGAGCTGGAGTCATTACTTCACTGGGTGTGCTTTTAACTGGGGGCTCTTGTCAGATATGCTGATTTGCAAAACTGATGAAGATGGTGCATGCATCATGCAGGGTGTGCATCCTCAGCGTTTCCCACCTGAGGGTCCTTATATAAAGCCACCCCTGTTTACCACCCTGTGTCTGCCTCTGTTCCCATACCTGGCCCTGGGGGCCTGCAAATGAAGACAAGTCTTTTTTTTTTATTAACTCCTGTACCAAGGTTGTGTGCAAAATCTTTTATTTGTGTGCTCTTCATGCCGTTGCCAGGTTAGTCACTGCTTTAGTACCACTGCAAATAAAGCTTTGCAGGCACTCACTGCAATCCACTCCTGTGACTGTGTTAATTCGTTTGCAATAACACTTCAACTTGCCAAGCCAAACCTTTTAATGACTGATCCATCGTCTTTCTTGATTTCTTTCTCCACCAAAGCAGGGACTTGCACTGCCATGTGGTGACCTGTATAGCTCAAAGCCTCCAATGACAACAGAGACTTCATATTACAACACACCCAAAACACCTGGAGCTCTTCCTGCCTTAGTTCTTTGTATTCACACAGCCCAGTGCTGAGAAAATGCTGAACAGGTACCTGAAAGCATCAACTGTGGCCCTCTCCTGCAGACACATCACACACAGTTTCTGCTATGGGGCAGTTTCATTTCAGTAATGATTGTACCAAAGCCTGTGGCAGCAGTGGCTCCAGACTTCTGGATTTACTGAGGCCGTAGCTGGGAGCATTCCTTCCCAAGCTGTCTCTTTGAGCCTTTACCAGAAAGTTCTTCCCCTTGTTTGGCCTCTGTGAGAAAAGGGGGACCAGGCTGCTGCTCTGGATTCCTGGTGACAAAACCCAAACTCACGTCACCTACTGCCACACAGCTTTTATCTATCTATTGATCTATTTTTATGTATTTATTTCAGCCTCTAAGACATGGAAACAAGAGACTGGACTCAGGGGAGGAACACAGCCCTTTACTCAGGGTGGGGGCTTAACTGTAGCCACTCCTACAATCACCTCCACCAGCGCTAGCACAGGAATGAACTTTAACTGCACTCACACCCAAGACTTGTGAGAACTTCACACAAAGCCTCCATGATGTTTTCCTTCAGTCTTAGAAAGTTTCATAGGTGATTCTGCATGTCAGCTTTCATGACACATTTACATAAGGATTGTTTTTTAACATGGCTGAGTCTAAGAGCAGAGTTGCACTCAGCCTGAGGCTGCTGGGCCACCAATAAAACCTTTCAGGAGCACAAGCTTTGTCCCTGGGCCCGTGGCGATGCCTGCTGTAAGGCTGTAATGAACCAAGGTGATTTTTACCTCTTCAAAGTCCTCTTTGGCTGATGGAAGATCAGAAGCCAGGCTGGCATCCCCCAGGTGTTTCTCCGTCCTCTCTCCATGCACTACGGTGGTCTTTATGACCTTGCTGACTCTCCGGCCCTCCACTGGTTCGGACTGGAATTTGGTCTGTGTCTATGGGCTCCACAGGGTAAAGTGTAGGGCTGTCAGGGTCAGCTTACTGGAAACAAAAAGGAAGAATAAAAAAAAAAATAAAAAAGGAAAAATAAGGGGGAAAAGAAATAAAACGGGAAAAAAAAAAGAAAAATTAAGAAAAGAAAAAAGGAAAAGTTTAGAAAAAGGAGAAAAAGAAGAAACAAAAAAAGGAAAAAGAAAAAGAAGAAGGAAAGAAGTGGGAAAAATAAAAAAGAGAAAAAAGAAAAAAGGATAATAATAAAAAAGGGAAAATAATGAAAAAAGAAAAAAGGATAATAATAAAAAAAGGGAAAATAATGAAAAAAGAAAAAAGAGAAAAAAGAACAAGAGTAAAAGGAAAAATAGAAAAAAAGAAAAAAGGAAAAAGGAAAGAAGAAAAAGGATAATAAAAACAAAATAGAAAAGAGAAAAATAAGAGAAGAGAGAAAAAAGAGGAAAAAAGGAAGAAGAGGAAAAAAGAAGAAAAAAGGAAAAAAAAGAAAGAAGACAAAAGGAAAACAGAAAAAAAAGGGGGAAAAAAAAGGAGAAAGAGGGAAAAGAGAAAAAACAAAAAAGAAAAAGGGAAATAAAAAAGGAATTAGGAAAAAGGAGAAAAGAAAAAGGAAAATAGAAAAAAAGGAAAAAGGGAAAAATTAAAATAGAAAAAAGGAAAATACAAAAAAAGAAAAAAGGAAAGAAAAAGGAAAAAAAATATAAAAAGGGGGAAAAAATTAAAAATAAAACAATTAAGACTTCTTTCTTGTCACTTTACTGCTAAAGAATGAACTCTGATGAATAATTCTGGCAAGCAAAGGTATCAGTGATGTTTTTCCCAATTCCAATAAATGCTTGCTACCCTTGCTTTTGGCCCAGCACAGCTGAAAGCACATCCAGGGCCAGCTTCTGGCCCTCCCTCACAACTCAGTTGTGCTGATCCAAACGCCTGTAGGGCCAGACAGTGAGGTACGGCACTTACCTTTCCAGGTTGTTTTAATTTTTAATTCCCTGGCTCTGAAACAGTTTTTGTTTAAGCCATAGATGTTTTAGCTTCTTCAAAGCAAGAACAGAGCAGCAAGGTAAACTTGCTGTAACTGGGGGGTTCTAGGACTGAGTGGCAGGATGAGCACGCTAAGCTGCAGTGACTACAGGCCCTGCCGAGGTGCTGCTGCTCTGTGCCACGGCAGGCAAAGCACACCCTACCTCTGAGTGCTCACTGCCACTCTTGAGCACCACTCGCTTCACCACTTTGGAATAACCATCTCCCTCTTGCACAGTGACGGGGGCTTGCGGTGTTCCCTGCATTAGCACCTCCTCTTTTTCCGTGCCATCTGGAGCAACGCATCGCCGGATGATCTTCCGAGTCACCTGAAGGAATGGAGTTAAGTCCCCAGAGAAGAAGCAGTAAAATATTCCTCTTTGTTCTCTAGCTAGTATTTGCTACTCAAAGGCCGTTTTGTCCTGCATGAAAGAACCTGTGTAGATGGTTCTATTCCTCAACGCCTACTCAAGAGACTCAGCTGGTGCTAAAGCTCTCGAGCCACTGGCTGGCCAAAGCAAGAAGAGAATTACAGGGCTCAAGATGTGAAATTGCTCAGGAGGATGGGTGTGCATCCTTCTGTGGATGACCCAAACCTTTGTGTGGCACGGTTCAAGGCACAGACCATGAGAACCGTCACGCTCACCCCTGTGCAACAAGACCAAGGAACCTTTGGCTGGAGCAGTTTACTGCACCAGGAATTCAAACATGTTCCAGGGACAGCCTATGACAGCTGAGGGTGTGTGATGGTGTGATGTCTTCTTAGAAGACAGAAGATGGGGTTTGCCACTGGCCCAGCTCAGCTAAATCCTAGACCAAATCTCAGAGGATTGAGTTGTCAGATAAAAAAAGGACCACAGAAGTTTCACTTTCACTTCCATGCTGTGCAGAATTTGCTTTTCTAAGCATGATCTGATTTTCAAGATCTAGTCTCTGAGTTTATCTTACCCTTGCAGACCCAGCCTTCCTTTGCCTTCATTAGGACAAGTAAACAAACATGTCAGGTAAGATTGTGGTGGAGTGCATTTTTTGTGGGGTTTTTAAAGAAGAAACAAACAACTTTCCTCTAAAACGTGTGGATCTATGCAGAATTTTCCTTGGCCTTCAATGAAAGTTAACAAAATACATCCTGTTAGGTTATACACCGTAACACAGAATGATTTTGAGAATCTAAATTATTGTTCAAAGTTTGCTATCTCTCATGAGCAGAAATTCTCATTCCTTCCCCTCTCTACTCTTCAAATCACACCCCTTCACAGCAGAAAGGCTGGCATTTCTGTGGATGATTTTTCCTTCCTTTTACAGGAGAGGAAGAAGGTAGCAAGTGGCAGAACTGACAATACCTTCTTTACCACTGTGTGGCCATGCTCATCTGTGTACTGCTCTTCTGTGACAGTTTCTGGTGGCATTTCAGGCATACTATCAGCCTGTACAACAAAGAACAAAGTTGGGTGAAGCCAGGCCTTCACGTGGGCCTTGAAATAAGCCATTTCAAAACCAGTTAATTGGTTGCAGAATGGAAAAAAAATCAGCAATGTTAGGAAAAAAAACATGTTATGCAAACAAATCCTTAGAAAGGCATGCAAAGATAAGTGATGTCACAGCACACAGGCTAAGATACGTTAGTTGATCTTGTGTATGGGGCTGTCAAGCCTTCATCTTCCTCCTACCGAGGCATCTATGGAATTTAGAGTGGGGTTAGCAGTGTTACTGTAATCCGAAGGAATTGGAACAGTTTATGCAATGGAGATGCATTATTTGGGAGCATCCCAGCTCGAGGTGCAACACCAAGTCAGGGCCTAAGGCAGCACAGGCTCGTGCAGTCGTTCACCACTCGGTACCTGAATGATCACCCGGCGCCGAATGACCCTGGTAGTGACCATCTCGTCCTCATCCGAGCTGAGCTCCAGCCCACCTAACTCCTCTGCTAACTCCTGGGGGAAGCATGGAATCAGGACTCTGTATGTGGCACTAGCAGTAGCTCCAGCTTCTGCCTTCCTACACCAGCTCTGTGATTCTAACATTTTGCATATGTTTTCTAGGTTAATTTGACAGAAAAAATACACAAAAGCTTTGTAATCCTCCACAGGGGGAAGTACAGAGCACAGGTTACAGACAGTAGGACTGAACAGTTTTAACTAGAGGACAGTATAGCAGTAGCCTCAGAAAGATCAGGAAAGATTAAGGAAGAATTAAAAGTTTAAACAAACACGTCAGAGGGCAAAGAGAGGCTGAAAAGAATCAGCTGGGAAATAGCTCTAGTATAAAAACAAAACAGGAAAAATAAATAAGGGGGGGATGGAGAGGGTATTTCTGGTGGTACCAGCTGCTGCTGTTGCTTCATTCAGGAAAAGAACTGGAGGAAAAAAGCAGTACATTATTTCAAGGGCAGCCTGTCTTCCACTGAGCCCTGCTGTAGATACTCTTTCAATCACCTGATACACTTAAAATTCCAGCCTTCCCTGAGATCCCAGAGGCAGAGCTCTGAACCCCTCATTCTAGAGGTGATTGATACCTCTGGCCACTCAGCAAAGAGAGAAGGGCTTCCTTCTAATGAACACAAAGGTGAAACTATTTCTGCCTCTACAGCTGCACCTTCCTGCTCTAACTTGACTTGTTCATTGTTATTACTTTGTCTGCATTACATCTGTTTTAGTTTGTTACTGACACTCTCTGTCTCTCAGGCACAGATCTAACTGTCACAGGCCAAAGGACAACGAAGGGTAGAGCAGAACCAGAATCACCAGTCTAGACTTGGGGATCTGGGATTTGCTCCCACTTTGAAAACCTCAGGAGAAAAAAAGCTTTTACTTGACCCTTTTAACCACAGAGGGAAGGAGAAACAACTTGGTGCCAGATGCAAAGCGAGACTTAATAATTGGCTTATTGTGCCAATTACATTGAGGCAAAGTTGTTCATTTACCTTTTCTAAAGATTCCTCTTCATAGCCCCTTCCAGACTTCTCCATCTGCTCCTCGGTGGACTCCACTATCACGAGACTAGATCTCCTTGGAGAGAGGCTTTCCTGGTGGAGCTGGGGCTCCTCAGGCTCTTGGACGATGGGGGAGTCCCCTCTCTGCGCAGAGGACGGGGGCTGCGGGGGCGCTCGCTGCGTCTCTCCCTTTGCCGTGCTTGAGTGCGCAGATTTCCCGCTCGCTGCTTTTCCAGCTCCCGCGGACTGCTCCGTTCCTGCAGTCGTGATGCTGTGAATTACAGGTCCAAGGGAGTTACCACCATGCAGCGCTTCCCAGTTTCCAGCAATGGAACATTAGGCACTTCATATTGTTATGTTGCCTGCTGTCCAGCAAAGACAAGAAATACTGACACTCCTTGACAGGAGCTACAGAGTGGACTGGCTGGGAATCCCACCCATCTTCCTGAGCAAATCTCCAAATGGATATCCAACCCTTCCATGCAATTCTGCAAAACTTGGTATTTGTAAAATACTTCAGAGAGCTTTGCTGTCACTTGTGCCCTCACATCTCTACATGCTACCGTTTCTTTTTTCAGGGGGAGAGCCTGGATCGCTGCAGAAGGATGTGAGGCACCTACAACACTGAGAACAAGCTGTGTAGCTGCAAAGTGTTAAAAACAGCTTTCAGGTGTAACTCTGGAGCTTTAGCAAACAGAAATTCAGGTTTTGTTTGTAATGGAATTTTCATGGTCAAACCCTGCTGTGATTAATCACTGCCCCAGGTTAGTTAAACCTACTATTATATATGTTACTATGTAACACATATATAAAGGAAATACATCTAGTCCAAGTATATGTACATTCAATATTGTTTCCAATTCCTCTTGCAGCCTGTTCCTTACCAGCTATTTAAATCTAGCCCGATTTCCCACACAGTTGAAATCAGACCTGCAGTACAGTGATATTCCCCTGTCACCATTATTCTCGTGTAGTCGTGGCACTATTGTCTCACAAGTACTCTCTGTTTCTCAAAGACATTCATTTCCTGATGCAAATTCTTAGGAAGCATAGGTATTTTTGCCTAACACTGCAAGAGAAGCTTTCCTAGATGTTATTTTCTGTCTCCCACACTCTTTCCTGGCATATCCTGAGCAGAAGAATTCCCTAAAAGTCCATTTTCTGGACTCAGCTGCCCCGTGACTGCTGGGAGCTGAATCTCCACAACAAAGCTAATCACCTCCAGGAAAATCACTTCTTTGGATAGGGATTCTTGATATTTTGCTGGCTTATTAATACTTGACTCTACCCTGATGAGAGGTCTCAGTGTGGGCACATGATCAGGGAAGCTGTAGAGAAATAAACACGATCTATTTCAAACAATACCAACCTCACTGACAGCCCCACCTCAGAAGTTTTGTTTCCAACAGGTCTTCTAAATGTGTACTGTATCATGTGTTATTACTTGTGTCTCACCTCTGTAAAACCCCATTTCAGTTCCTTTGACCATCTGAAACACACTTTTAAAAGCCCAGTTCTTAACAGGTAGTTCTAAATTTTTTAAGTAATGATTAAATGGAATAAATTTTGCCTCCATTGAAAAAACCATCCCCAATCTGAAGAAAGGGTCCTTTAGGATTCCTTTCATTAAGATGTTATCATTTGTCCTCCAAAACATGAAAAATATACATAACCCCCCCCTCCACTTTTCTATTAATTATTACTATTAATTGTTCATTATTACCCTCTTCTCTTTCCTGTGTCCTAGACACAGTTATTGCTTTGTGTTCACAGTGACAAACTGACTCTCCTCAGCCTTAAGGCTTCCTCCACATGGATTAAAAAGTGAAAACCACAATTGGAGGAAAATTCTAGTATGTTCCTAAGTTTCAAATGCAGCTGTAGAATCCTCTTTTTACACAGAGATAAGAGAACCTGTTCTCTATGGTTTATCTTGGTCTTCTGGCACTTACAAATATTCCTGTTGTGAAGCAGATGGTTTCCCTGGCACGTCTTGGGGTTTCCCTGAGAATTCAGCTTCTACTTGTTCCTTGTGTGCTTGCCTCAGAAGCTCAGCCATGGACACGTCTGCCTCGCTCCTGGGAGTGCTGTCCTGGAACGGGGAATAACTGACAGACACGTCTTCCTCGGAGACCAGAGGGGGGTGCTCGGTTGGCTCGCTGTCCTTGGATATTCTCTGCTGCTCTTGCTTGTGTCTCGAGCTGTACACTTCCTCTTGCAGTGCTGAAAACCCTTGCCAAGACAGAGAGATGAGAAATATCGTTACGAGTCTGACCAGAAAGCACAAGTCCTTTCCGTGCTCCGTGTGCATTGAAAATCCCCGGGCGCAATATGTGACCTGGAGCTCTTGAACTCCTTGAGTGGGAGGGGACCTGGCCTCTAGGAGTAGCCCAAGGAAGGCTGGATTGCTGCTACTGTGGCCAGATTTAGACACTAACAGACAAAATAGCATTTAGCCAGAAATTTACCTCAAGTAATTGTGCCCAAAACCCTCCAAGTATAGAAGAAGATTCACAAAATATTTTTTTTCCAGCTGATTAAGGATAGATTTTAGTGACTCGTCCCTTCCATATCTGTTATGCATCTGCTTCTGGGAAAATTAAATGTATGAGAAAAGATGAAAACACTTCCTACAGGGCTAGGTACAAGAAGCAGCTCACTGATGTGCCAGATTCACTGGAAACCTGGTGAACTCTGAAGAATAAATTGGAGGGAAACAGGAAAGCTTGTATGGAATTTGAGCTGGATGGAGACGTTAACATTCTGAAACTACTTGGCTGTGATATGAAAACGCTGACTGCAACAAACAGCCTTCTATCCCTACATTCTCCTCAAGACTGGGACCTCTGCAGCTGCCTAATATGTTTCAATATTGAGTTAGGCACACAAAAGCATCACTTCTGGAAAAGAGGATTCTGTACCAAATAAATTTGGAGGTGTTTCTTCATTTCGCAACCACTGGATCTAATCCAATGAACTTTCAAACTTAGGAAATGCAATAGCATCCTAACAGAATTACCATATCCTGGATATTCAGATCCAAATGGGTGTTCTGTCAAAGCACCGAGCAGTTTTCCTTTTTAATATCTTGGTCAAATTCTAATAAAACCTTCTGAACTTTCATGAAAGCACTTGTATAAGCAAAAAAACCCCAAACCCCAAGGTAAACTGGGAAAACGTTGCTGGCCACAGCGTTTGCTTCTGAAGAATCAGCTAGAGCGCAGATCTTCTACCTTGTGAAATGTGACCCCTGTGATGCCGTGTTTGCGTCCCCCCACACTGTCTGTGCTTTCAAAATGGGATTCCTGTGCTTTGCCACGAGAGCTGAGAGATGAGCCTGGGCCAACCCTTCGGAACAGAGTGATGCTTAGAGAGGTACCCTGGGTCAGGAGCCACTTACCTTCACTGTGGTCCAATGCCAAGGACTGCTCCGTGTCGGCGTAGGCGCGCGTGCCGTGGCCCTGCACGGGGTCTATGCCACTGGTCTCCATCAGGTGAACGATGTCCATGCGGTTGATTTTCGTGAGACATTGGGTCAGGTTGGTATCTGTGCCATTGGAACGACAGAACAGCTTGGTTAACAATCAAGCACGCTCCCTCCCTTCTCCATAGGAAGGGCGTATATAGGGGACTGACTGGTATCATATATAAATTACAGATACATTTAGAAGCAGTGCTATATAAAACCTAACAAGCACCAAGTGGCTGCCTACAAAATCTAGCGCTCCGTTTTTTTCCTTTTAACAAATTCATTGATTTGCTGTGTTTCACAGAAAAGACTAGAAACAACATTGAGTGCAATCCCTGGTCATCCTTTCTGTAGCCTCAATTTCCCCCAAATTTTCTCTGTGATTACAACACACACCTGTCACCTCAGCTAGCAGACTGGAGACAGTTACACACAACAACTGGAGACAAACCTGTTGCATGTTTCCCATCTCTTTCAAGCCAGTATTTGAGGAGTGCGTGGCTCTGGTCTTGAAGCGAGTTGGGATTTTCAATTCGGATCTGGTGAATTTGCTCCTCTGTGAAGTCCAGCTCTCTTGCTAGCTCTGAAAAAGAAATCCACCTCTGTAAAGAGGTCTGCTGCTACTACCACTACCACTCCTTGGTCTAATTTCATTCAAAGAAAAGTAAATGTGAAATATCATTTAACCCCAAAACCTGAAAAAACATTGCATCTCGTTCCACGCCACTTTCA